GCCTAGATGGGAATAACAGATAATTTGCTTGAACACCCTTTTGTCAATTGTGACTCTCCCTTTAGCAGTGAAACAAAGTGGAGGAAGTAGGAAGAATCTCTGCATGTCTATACCTCTTCCACTAGAGTCCTGTCCTGTCCAGAGCAGGTGGTATGATATCTGGACCTTTTATTCTCTACCTTCCATGATTTACTTGATGAGGCCAGCCATATTGCCTGCATATGGCTAGAAAGAAGGGGAAAGGGTGGTGAAATTTGTTTACCTATCTGTGGAAACAAGATTGGTATGTTGGATTTATTGAAAATAGAGGAGGCTCCCTGGGGGGAGAGAGATTTTTTTAGTTATGTATTTATATTCCTTTACCTGTCACTGGGTATGGTGGTAAATTTGTGCATGTATGCAAATGTGTCTCTCTGTATGATTATGTGTGTGTTCATTTCCATCTCTCATCACTTAGTGTTTTTGGATGTTTGTTCACAGTCACTGTATCTGCTGTGTACTGGGTGTGTGGTGTATACACATACACCACACAGATACAGATGACAGCATAACAAAGTGCTTACGACACAGGCTGCCTAATTTTGTTTAGGAGCTATATGACCTAATGTTGTTTAGGAGCTATATGACCTCAGGTAGGATCTTTAATCTCTGGGTTTATTTTCTATAAAATGTAAATAATAATAGTACTTTATAGTGTATATAGTATGTAAATGTTTAATATAACGTATAGACCAGCACAGTTCAATAGAAATATAATGTGAGCCACATGTAATTTTTAATTTTCTTATAGCCTCATTAAAGGTAACAGTGAGCCAGGCATGGTGGTGCATGCCTTAATCCCAGCCACTAGGGAGGCTGAAGTAGGAGAATCACAAGTTTGAGGCCAGCCTCAGCAACTTAGTGAGACCCTGTCTCAAAAAATAAAGGGCTGGAGATGTAACTCAGTGGCAGTGCATCCTGGGTTTCATCCCCAGTACCATACACAAAGTGAAATTAATTGTAATGGGGTACGTCATTAGCCCAATATATCCAAAAGAAATTAGAAGATTATCAGACAGTATTTTACACTTTCGTTTTTCACCCAAAGTTTTTAAAATCTGATGTATACTTTACATTTCTAGAATATCTGAATTTGTACTAGCCACATTTCAGGTGCTCAGTATCCACATGTGGCTGGTGGCTAAGCAGGTGTAGACTGTTATCTTTTCAGTACAAGTGTTAGCTATCATTGTTTTTGTTGATTCTGTTTATTTATTTATTTGTTTGTTTGTTTATTTATTTGCTGAGGGTTGAATCCGGGGGTGCTTTACAACTGAGCCACATCCCCATTTATTTTATTTTTTATTTTGAGACTGGGTCTCGCTAAGTTACTAAGGGTCTCACAAAGTTGCTGAGGCTGGCCTTGAACTTGAGATCCTCCTGCCTCAGCTTCCTGAGTCACTGGGATTACAGGCATGCACCACCACACTAGATTTGTTGTTTTGTTCTCATTTATCTGTGAGTTGTGGATATCCATGTCTCAGTGTATCTAGAGCCCTGTTGGAGGTGGTGGGGACAACTATCTTGAGCTCGCCGTCCTAGAGAGGCTTCCTGGGAAGGTTTTGATAGGAGCTCAGGCCTCATTCTGTATCTCTGGTCCTTATCCCGATAATACCTCCTAACCTTTCCTTCTGTACCTTACTCATTCCACTCTCCTCCCCTCCAGAAACCAGGCCACTGTCCTTTGCCCCATTCTCTGCAGGTGGCCAGAATGGAGCTGTGGCCCGGGGCATGGACGGTGCTGCTGCTGCTGCTCTTGCTGCTACTCTTCCTGCTGCCCACCCTGTGGTTCTGCAGCCCCAGTGCCAAGTATTTCTTTAAGATGGCCTTCTACAACGGTTGGATCCTCTTCCTGGCTGTGCTTGCCATCCCTGTGTGTGCCGTGCGAGGACGCAACGTTGAGAACATGAAGTGAGGGGCAAGGGGTGATGGATGGGTGATGAGGGAACCCAAGGGTGAGAAGTGAATAGTAGATTCAGGGAGCAGCATGGTATGTGTAGAATAGACTGAATAAGCCCAGGGACACAGAAGGGGGAGAAAATTGCAAAAATGGCCAGAAAGACAGTAGGGTGGGGAGAACTGAGACAGGCAGGTGGACATCAGTGAATCCCATTGGGCCCCTTTGCCGTGACCCCACAGGATCTTGCGTCTAATGCTGCTCCACGTCAAATACCTGTATGGGATCCGAGTGGAGGTGCGAGGGGCCCATCACTTCCCTCCCTCACAGCCCTACGTTGTAGTCTCCAACCACCAGAGCTCCCTCGACCTGCTTGGTGAGACCCCGTTCTTAGGCACATGCCCTCCCTCCTGGCACTTTGCCACAAACCTGCTCCTTTAAAGGTCCTCAACTCCTCTCTTCTAGGATGTTGCTCCCTTGCTCCCTCCTCAGGTTTTCTTTCTCCAGAATACGTCTGCCCTCATTAGCAGGGTACATATGCCTTTAGTCACCCTTGCTTTTACATGGGTAAAATGTAGTCTCCTCCCTTTATCTCCAGTCCCTGCTAGTGTGGGTGATGACCTGGGTGGAGTGGGATGCCTGCTGTGGCACTCTGCCTCTACCCTGATCCTTACCCCATCCCCTTGCCTGCTTAAGGAATGATGGAGGTACTGCCAGGCCGCTGTGTTCCCATTGCCAAGCGTGAACTACTATGGGCTGGCTCTGCTGGGCTGGCCTGCTGGCTGGCAGGAGTCATCTTCATTGACCGGAAGCGCACAGGGGATGCTATCAGTGTCATGTCTGAGGTCGCCCAGACCCTGCTTACCCAGGACGTGAGTCATTTTGGGGAAATGGGGGCTTGGGGAACTAGGGAATGGAACAGTTATAAATTAATGGATAGACAGGGCAGGCAGGCCTCATTATAGCATTGCACCCACTCTGATGCCTCCATATGTGCATATCTTCCTTGATCCTCTTCCTCTACCAGGTAAGAGTCTGGGTTTTTCCTGAGGGAACAAGAAATCACAATGGCTCCATGCTGCCCTTCAAACGTGGCGCCTTCCATCTTGCAGTACAGGCCCAGGTGACTACTACTTCGCCTTCCACTGCTCAGTCCCCAGCCCCCATCCTTCCTTCCTCTCTGGGCAATGGTTGGTCTCAGGGAGCCATGGACTGATCCACTTTATCTCTTTTCCAGGTTCCCATTGTCCCCATAGTCATGTCCTCCTATCAAGACTTCTACTGCAAGAAGGAGCGCCGCTTCACCTCGGGTGAGGGCTCTGAGCAGGTCTGGGGTAGTGTGTGGCCAGAACAGCCATTGGAGAGGCTAGGGTATGTCCCTGTGAGCAGGGAATCATTCAGTGACAGAGCCATGAGACATACCCACATGAATATCCCATGTATGATCCCACATCAGGCAAAAGTATCTATTAAGCACCCACCATACTCTGTTGGGTGGGCAGTACTTGGTCTCTAAGAGAGGCTGTTTTGATCTGTCAGGAAAGATAGTCTATATATGCAAAACTGCAGTCAATAAACCTCCACGGTGAAGGCTAAACCCGGGTGATAGGAGATATCTGGACTGAGGTTCAGGGAAGGCTTTGTACAGGAGGGCCTCAAAAAACAGGTGGCAGTTGGCAATCAGGAGGCGGTTGCCCAGGGTTAGGGGAAGAAACCCACAAGATTGAGGAAGGGAGTAGCAGCATTGCTCAGAAGCTGGGCACTACCTGTGGGCAAAATCCTGGGAGAACAAGCCATAATGGTGCTCCTCATCTCACCAGGGCGATGTCAGGTACGGGTGCTGCCACCAGTGCCCACAGAAGGGCTGACACCAGATGATGTCCCTGCTCTGGCTGACAGAGTCCGGCACTCCATGCTCACCATTTTCCGGGAAATCTCCACTGATGGCCGGGGTGGTGGTGACTATCTGAAGAAGCCTGGGGGAGTGGGCGAAGCCCGGCTGTGAGCTTCTCTCCCATCTGTCCCCATCTTCCGCCCCACACCTACCAACCCATTGGCCCTAAAGCAGGGGCACTCTTCCTCATTTCCTTTCTCCCCATTCATTCTCCTCTTCAGAATCTTCAAATTCTGATGTGAAAGTACGTACAATTGTCACTCCCTATCCCTTCCTGGCCCCATCCAGGGACTCTCCTGCCTAGGTGCAGTCTTCATTCTGATCCTCACCTCCTGCCATCTTGTCTGTGGGATAGTTGCCTCCCCTTCAACTTGAGTGGCTCATTGTACACAAGGGTGGGGAATATTCCATCCCATCCCATCCCTAGTGGACTCTTCCTTTGCTGTCTTCTCTCCCTCTCCATCCCACATTGGCCAGTGGACTCATCCTGTCTGTGGAACAATTCATCCCCCATGCCTAAGTTCATGGGTTCAGTGGACTGATCCATTTGTGGGGACAACTCCTCACTCTGGCTGGAAGCTGATACCTGGAACACTCCTCCCAGGCTCATCCTGGGAATCTTCCTCAGCACCTTCATCCTCCCTCCCCGTGGAGCCCCTATCTGTAGGGGCTGGACTCTTCTAACTCAGAGGTCTCATCCCTCCCTTGCCAAGATGCCCAGGGTTGAGCACACACTCCTGGATGCCAGTTTGGTCTCACATTTCTGCTTCCCCCTGTCCCCATGGTACAGTCCTTCAGTAGTCCTGACCCAACCCAGTCCCCTATTGTCCCCTGTACCATCCCAACCAGACACAGGGGAAAGAGGCAGATATCAGATACTGCACTCACTGAACCCTGGGGAGTTGGGGAAAGGAACTGAACCCTGGCCAGAGGGGAGAGGAGGTTGTTTAATTTATTTCTTTCTTTTGAGGCTTCCCCCTCTCTGAGCCAGTTTTCATTTCCTCCTGGTGGCATCGGCCACTCCCTGCCTCCTATTCCTGTCCTGTTTCCTCAGCTCAGGAGGTGGGCTGGGGGCAAAAGGAGAGGGTGGCACCCAGTTTTTCATGGTTGGTTTTTATTATCTGGATAACAGCAAGCAACTGAAAATAAAGAGAGAGAGAGAGATCTGGGTGCTTTCTTGCCATGTTTGTTAAGGATTTGTCCAGACAACCTGCCCCCAGCCAGAAGGAATGGGCAGGCTAACACAGCCTGCCTTTGCCCATTCTTCAGTTCTTCAAAGTTTCCAGGCTCATAGCTCCTCTGTGGCAGTCTTATTTGCAGCTCCCAGTTGGCCAATCCCAGAGGATTAGTGGGGTCCAGTTTCTATAAATTAGGGGATTGGGTGCTCTAGAAGTTCCTTATCGATTCAGTCCTGGGCCCAGGCTGTTGTCCTCACAGGAGCCTGGTTAATGACAAGGGGATAGTGTGACACCATGGCTGAAGTCTCTGGGAACTGCCCCAGTCTGAGGGGTCTACACTGCTTCTCTCACCCAGACTGAGGCAGGGTCCCAGATTAGGAGAAAAATTGAGATATCCTAGAAGGTAGTAAAGAGTGAACTTTGAGGAGAGGTTTCTGGAATGAGGGAATTCGGAACCCGGAAGGTCTCTGGAGGAGTTCCGGCAGTTGGGATAGGGGTCTGCGTGGGGAGGGGCAAGAAGACTCACAGGTGCCCAGCCTCTCCTCCAGCAGCAGCACTTGGTCGCTGAGAGATTCGATCCTGTCACCCCGGCCCCATAGCTCAGCCACTTGTTCTGGCTGTAGCTCTTCGGGTGGCATGGGCAGCACTGCCCGTACCCAAGCTCCAGCCTGCGCGGCCCACTGCAAAGGAAGAAATACCTGAGGATGTAGGCGACTGGTCACTCCTGCCCCGAGGGCTTGGCGCTACACGCCTTCACTCACCTGCTCCAACCCCTCCAGGCGCCCTCGCAGTTCACGAATCTCCCGCCTTAGGGCGCGCTCGTCCTGTTCCGCTTCCCGAACTAGGACAAAGCGAGAACTTGACTGCTACCTTGGCCCCAGCAGCTGCCTGGCGCTCTCCTGCACTTGGCCCATACTTACCCGCCACGCTCAGAATGCTGGCACTGGTTGGGGGCTCTGGGGACCCCTCTGCGCAGGCACGCCCATCGGGGCCCAGCACCAGGCCCTGCGGGCAACCGCAAGTGAAGCTGCCGGCGGTATTGAAACAACGGTGCGAACAGAGAGTGACACTGGTCCTACACTCATCCACGTCTAGTTATAGGAAAGAAGAGAGTGCTGAGGTGGGGGCAGGGCCGGGCGTCTGAGTGGGTGGGAAGGCCACCAGTGCCCCTCCCACTCGCTGCGGGGAGGGCCAGCTGACTCACCCACGTGACAGTGCTTCCCTCCCCAGCCGGGGGCGCACTCGCACTTGTCCGGCCCAACACAGACGCCTCCGTTCAAGCAAGGCTTGGCGCAAATGGCTGCGGGGAGGGGGGGGCTTCAGGTCCAAACCTATAGCTCAGCTCCCCAATATTCTGCCTCCCGTCGGCAGACCTCCTGCAAGGCCTGGAAGACAAGACCTCACCTTCACAGGTGAGCGCTCCTGGGTGTCTCTTCTTCCAGCCCTGGCAGCAGATGGCATGGGTCTGCTGCACTTCCCGTCTCACCTCCCGCCACGCCACGCGGTACGTGGTCCTGAAACACAGCACCAGACTCAAACCTCAGATATGGATCTGGTAGATTCTTTGGGGTCACTGAGAGATCCCAGAGTCCAAGCTCCCCATCCCTCACCTGTAAGTGCTGCAGATGCGCCTTCCAGCGCACAGGGTCAAGTAGGGCATGTATACCGGTTGACTGTAGGACTCATTGTAGCGTAGTGGGACCACCAGCGTCTGCTGGGAGCAGACCCCCTGACTGCATCCGTGCCAAAGGAGGAGGTGGGAGACATTGAGCCGGTCAGGTTCATCCTAGGCCGCCAGGAGAACCATCTCCCTCAAGGAGCCACTGAGATCCTGCACCCCTAAGGTGACAGCCTCTAACCCCCTTTCTGAATTTTCAACTTTGTTTTGCCTTCTAGGAAACCCCACTCCCAGCAGAAGGCTCACATGCAGACTTTACCCAGGCCCCACCCCTTCTGTTGTCACCTCTCTTTGAGGGATACACCCTTGGCTCCCTCGCCTGATATCAATAGCAGGAGGAATGAAAGTCCACCAAAGAGTGTGCACAGCTCAGCCTTGGACCCCATGATTCTCTTTGAGTCCAGACTCTGTGGGCTACAGACAAGAAGAGGTTAATGGATGACCTTCCTCTCTCCTATTAACTTCTCCAGCCCTAGCCCTTCCAAGAACAATCTGTGGATGCCTTCTAAGGGATTTAAGACATTCACTTTTACACACTAGTCATCAGGACTGTATACAATTGTGTGTACATATAACTGATACCATCTTTAGCATATCCGGATCCATTCAGCATCATACAGGCTCCCCCCAGCACACTCCCTCCACTACCCCTCTGACACATCCTCTCCTGATACTCTGCTCAACCTGGAGGGACAAACACATGGTTAACCCTCCCCTCATGGTCCTCCTTAACATGCTCTCTTATAACTTAATCTTCATATTTTCAAAACCCCAATTATACACCCTCACACCTTACATACAAATCCAAGCTCCTGGAACCACCATACCGTAAACATATTTCTACCCTTACGCAGCCACACCATCAAATACATCCTGGACACACACCTTTCACTCAGACAATGCCCCCCAATTCATATCCACTCTTAAGGCTCTGAGTAACGCCCCCTCCTTACTCATTGACATTCCCTCCCCATCTGCCTCCCCCTCCCTCCATTCCAACCTGGCTTCCTCTCTCCAGGGAGACTTCAGGCAGACCAGCCTCAGCAGCAGCAGCTCAAACTGGTGGGTGGGCCCTCTGGGCAGGGAAGGAGAGGAGGGGCTAGGCCAGACAGAGGCCTCCCATTCCTACCCCCTCCCACAAGCCTCCTCCTTAGTTCTAGCCTGATCAGCTCAGTGGGGTCAAGTCCTATAACTCTCACCCCCACTCTAGCATAGGGCTCCCTAGAAGAATTTTCCTAACCCTATGAGGGCCCCAAATTCTGGATTCCTAAATTAACAGAGACTCCTAGCTCTAACACCACCAATACCCTATGACCTTTCCCTAGCCCTGCTTCAACCCAAGACAGACTGCTGGAGAATTGGGGGTAGGGAGAAAGGCAGGCTGGCAAGAAACAGCAGATCAAGTCACGAGAGAAGAGGCAAGATCAGCTGAGAAAAGAAAGAAAAGTAAGTTGTCAAAAGGGCAGGGGGGCAGCCCAAGGAACTAAGGGGAAAAGTGCCCCCATCTCTTGATGACATTTGTTAGGGCTTGGGGGGCACAGAGTTGAGTCAGCCACCACCCTCCATGCCAGAGCAGACAGGGCCCTATTGTGTCAGCCAAAATTCCTTCTTTCAAGGAAAAGGAGGCTCATTGTATAGCCCCTCACCCAGCTCTGGCCTACAAAGGTCAAAAAGGGGTACAACAAATGCCCACCCTGACCCTCAGCCTCCTCGTCTAGCCTGGGGGTGGCAGGCACATTCCACCCCTAAAACTGAGGCCCAAACCACTGGAGCCTAGGGTTCAGCCCCCTAATCCTAGGCTGGGACAGGAAGAGAATTGTCTTCAGCAGGAAAGAACCCGCAGAGAATCAGGAACCCACACAGAATGGGCATTGAGAAGACGGAAACACCAAGGGGGTCCCCACCCCAGCCCAAGCATCCGGGCACCCAGGCCCCAGGCTTTCCATTCCCACCCTCCTTGAGGAGCCTAGGTCCCCTTCACCTGGAAATAAGCCAAGCCACTCTGAGGAAATGGAACTTTATTTCCATAAATACAGGGGACATACCCATACAAGGGTAGTTAAAAGAGGGGCTGGGGCCTCAAAGAAATTAGGCTCCCAGGGATACCCCAACACTGATCCTAGGGACTGGGGGATCCCAAAACCTGAGATGGGCCTCGCAGGCCACAGATAGTCCCCAACACTGACATTTCAAGAACGGAACTGTCCCCATAGGGGAGCCTCAGAACCCCACTCATGGGTGTCCCTCTTGTGGGTGGGGAGGGCTGACAACAGGGAAGTTCAGAGGAAAAGGGAACATGGGGAGAACATAAGCTAAAAATGTCCTGAGTGGCCTGGAAGGAGACCCCTGTGGTGGGCAGGGGCTGGGTTCTCCTCCTGTACAGCCAGATACAGAGGAGCAACAGCAGCAGCAGGAGCAGCCACAAGTTAAAAACCTGGTTCTCATTTCCCAACCTCGGTCTTGGGAGAAAGGGAGAGCATGGAGCCACCCCCAAACTAGAAAACATGAGGTAGGGGGACCAGGACTTGTCATTCATGGAGGAGCAAAGGATGGGTGTTCTGGGAGCCCTGGTTGATGTGGGGGCAGTGTGAGAGCAATGAGGTGGTCATTGCCAATGCCAGAGCCTGACACCTGCTTTCCAAGGCCACCACTTGGTCTCTGGGCTGGGGAGTTCTGGCGACATCTGAGGACGTCCTCAGGAGAGCCAAGGTTCAATGCAAGTCTCATAAAGAGTGCGGTTGGAATGCCAGGCCGTGTGGACGATCCCAGCCATTGGACACCTCACTATGGCCCCCCGAGCCAAGAGAGTCTTCAACCCAAAAGAATCCCGCAGATATACCTTCCAGGTAGGCCAAAGGGCGTGGAAACATGGAATAAAGACACAAAAAGAGACAAAATTGAGTTACTGTTGGTGTCCTAGGCCCCCTCCCCATAGGGTGAACCCTTTAGCTCAGGAGTCAGTGGCAGGAAGGACTCCAGAATGAGTGGGACAGTGGACGAAGAGAGGGGGAGTAATCCCAAGGGGCTCACCAGTTGTTCCTCCATCTCCAAGACTGTCTCATTGGCATCATAGAAACCAAAGAAGCTACAAAGAGATTGAGGGTGGATATCAAAAACTGGAAATAATCAAGGTGGTCTAGGGTCCTTTAGGAACCTACAGCCTGCTGGGGAGACAATCAGCAGGAAGGACACTCAAAAAACTTAATTAGATATCACATACCTCATGCAGTAATGCCCTGAGGGTACTGCATCATTTCTGTAGAATTATCACTAGAAATGTATAACCTAAATCTCATCATGAGGAAATATCCAACAAACCCAAACTGAAGGACATTCCACAAAACAACTGGTCAATACACTTCAAAACTGTCAATGTCATGGACAAAGACTGAGGAACAATTCCAGATTAAAAGAGACTAAAGAGACATGACAACTAAATGTAACCCCCAGGCCTGAGTTTGAACTTGTATTGATTTTTTTTTCCCTATAAGGACAATTAGAACCAGGTGTGGTGGCGCATACCTGCAATCTCAGCTACGTGGGAGGCTGAGACAGGAGGACTGCAAATTTGAGTTAAGCTTGAGCAACTTATCAAGATCCTGTCTCAAAATTTGAGGGCCAGGGGTATAATTCAGTGGTATAGTGCTTGTTCAGCATGTGCAAAGCCCTGGAGTCAATCCACAGCACCACAAAAAGTAAAACAAAAGTGAAATTTAAAAAGGTTTGAGGATGAGGCTGGGGTTGTGGCTCAGTGGTAGAGTGCTTACCTAGCACATGTGAGGCACTAGATTCAATCCTCACCACTACATAAGACTAAATAATAAAATAAAGATATGTGTCCATCTATATATGTAAAAATAAAAATTTTTAATTTTTTTTAAAGGTCTGAGGACAGCCAGGCATGGTGGTGAATGCCTGTAATCTTAGCCACTCAGGAAGCTGAGGAAGGAGGATTGTAAGTCTGAGGTCAACCTTAGTATGCCCTAAGCAACTCAGCAAGACCTTGTCTCTAAATAAAATATAAAAGGGCTGGGAATATGGTTCAGTGGTTAAGCACCTCTGAGTTCAATCCCCAATAACCACCCCCCTCCCCCCAAAAAATTACATTACTGTCTCTATTAATTTTCCACTTGAAAACTACTGTGGTTACATAAAAGAACATCCTGCTTATAGGAAATACAGCCTGACACACTAAAATATACAGATGTAAAGAGATATCATGTCTACAGAATACTCTCAAAGGGTTCACACAAAAAAAATGTTTTTTTGTAAATGTTGAATATATTTAAATATTAACATGTATGCATAAATATACATATATTTAAGGGGACAGAGAAAATATGTTAATGTAAACATGGTAAAATGTTAACATTTGGGAAATTTAGGTGAAGAGTATACAAGCCAGGTGCAATGGCACAGGCCTGTAATTCCAGTGACTCAAGAGATTAAGGTAGGAGGATCACAAGTCTGAGGCTAGCCTCAGCAATTTAGAAAGACCCTGTCTCAAAAGAATTTAAAAAAAAAAAAAGAAAGAAATGCTTTGTACTAACTTGGCTTCCTTCCTTCCATGCTGGGAATTAAACTTGGGGCCTTCCACATGCTAAGCAACCACTCTACCACTGAGCTACATCCTGCCCACCCTTTTCCTTTTCTTCTTTTTTTAAATTTTGAGATAGGTCTCAATAAGTTGCCCAGATTGGCCTCAAACTTGCAATCCTCCTGACTTAATGTCCTTGGTATGTGGGATACCATGCCATTACCATGCCTGGCTTTGTTTTTCTTAGGTGTAAAATTACTTCAAAATAAAATTTCTTTTAAAACAGTTTTTTTGTGTGATTCTCAGGATTAATTACACATTTTTAAATTAAAGAGTATTTAACTGTCATGGGCACTGAGTGGAACCTCACTGTGAATAACTTCACAAATGCTGAAAAAGTTCAGTGGACTGTGGGATCAGAGAAGGGACCATTACTTTAGTTTTTACAGCATCAACAAAATTTCCCTGTGGTGCTCCTGGACGGGTATCCAGATAAAGGAAACAGCAAGAGCAAAGCCACAGAGACACAGCTGGGCACATGGGAAAGCTGGGCTGGAGGTCTGGGGGTCTGGGGGTTATATTGTAGAAGGTGTAAGAAAGTGGTAGGGACACACACACAGGCCTGAATTTGAACCCCAGTTCTGCCACACTCTCCCCATGTGTATGTCTCAGTATGTTACTTGTCCTCATTGTCCTATAAAGAATACCTCCTTTATCAAGAGGAAGTAAAACATTGTGATTAAAAGTCAGATAGCCTGGGCTGGGGCTGGGGCTCAGTGGTAGCGCACTTGCCTGGCATGTGTGAGGCACTGGGTTCGATTCTCAGCACCACGAAAAATATAAAGGACTATCAACAACTAAACAAAAAAAAATTAAAAAAAAAGTCAGATAGCCTGACCTCACCACTTAGGAACACTATAAATGTAGGCAAGTTATTTAATCTCTTTGCCCTGTGTTTCCTTAAATGTCAAAAGAAGATAATAATAATAATAGGATTTTTTTTTCAAAGTACTGAGAATTGAACCCAGGGGCACTTCACCACTGAGCTTCATTCTCAGCCCATTTTTATTTTTTATTTTGAGACAGGGTCTTGCTAAGTTACTGAAGCTGGTCTCAAACTAGCACTCCTTCTGTCTCAGTCTCTCAAGTAGCTCAGATTACAGGTATGCACCACCACACCTGTTTGTTTATTTGTGTGTGTGGTACTGGAGATTGAACCCAGAGGCCTTCTATCACTGAGGCATACCCTCAGCCCTTTTTATTTATTTGAGAGAGAATTTTAACATTTTTTAGTTTTCGGCGGACACAACATCTTTGTTTCTATGTGGTGCTGAGGATCGAACCCTGGCTGCATGCATGCCAGGCGAGTGCGCTACCACTTGAGCCACATCCCCAGCCCCTCAGCCCTTTTTATTTTGAGACTAAATTGTCAAGGTTGGCTTCAAACTTGTGATTCTCCTACCTTAGCCTCCTGAGTCACTGGGATTACAGGTATGTACTGCCTGGACTAAAATGGTAATTTTTACTACCTATTTTTTTTTTCTGGTGCTTGTGATCAAACCCAGGTCCTGACACATGGTAGACAAGTGCTGTATCCCTGAACTGTATCCCCAACCTATTGTTATCTATATTTTATCACATACAAAAAAAGAAAAAGAGAATAAAGTAAGGCCTTACTTTAACCTGCAAAAACTCAACACAACTGGTCCTCACTACCTCTTTTTCTTCCTCTCATGAACTCTTCCTGCTCTTCCTATATCAGCCTCATTACTCACACCTGCCCCAGGCCCTCTGCAGGTGCTGCTTGGGTCTTCTTCCTCCTCTGTTATACAACTCCCTCTCTCACTTCCTTCTGCCTCTGCTCAAGTTGCAGCTCTTCCATTATGCCTTCTTTGAGCATTAAAACAGGCCCTAAGCATCCTCTGATGCCTCCCCTGCCTTCCTTTATTGCCACCTGACATATATATTTACATTTATTATCTAAATAAGTCTAGTCTAATTTACTTTCTCTACCCACTAGAATGTAAGCTACATAATAGCAGTGATTTCTTTTTTATTTACTGCTGCATTTCCAGAACCCAGAATAGCAGCTGGGCACATAGAATTCAATAAATATTTGTTAAGTAAGGTAACTCAGGTGACATTTCAGATCACTCATGATGACCTACAACAGAGACAATCACATAGTGCCATAGAGAGACGAGGCTGGAGGTGTTACAATAGTCTTGGTAAATAAAGTGCTGGTAGAAAATAATAAAATGGCACAGAACCACAAACATACATTGTACCAATGTTAACTTCCTGGTTGGTTGGTTGGTTGGTTTGAGATGGGGTCTCGCTGTGTTGCCCAGACTGGTCTCATACTCCTGGGCTCAGCTGATCCTCCTGCCTCAGCTTCCCGAGTGCTGGAACTACAGGCGCGTACCACCATGCCCAGCTTATTTCCTGGTTTTGATATTGTGCTTTAGTTTACCTAAGATATAACCATTGGGAAACTAGGTCAAGTGTACATAGGACCTCTCTATACCATCTTTGGGACTTGCTGTGAATCCATAATGATTTCAAAATTAAAAGTTTTTTTTACAAGAACTGGGGGTGGCTGGGGTTGTGGCTTAGCGGTAGAGTGCTTGCCTATCATGTATGAGATGCTGGGTTCGATCTTCAGCACCACATAAAAATAAATAAATAAATAAATAAAGGTACTGTGTCCAATTGTGTCCAACTACAACTAAAAAATTAAAAATAAAAAAAAAACTGGGGATATAGCTCAGTGGTAGAGCACTTGCTTAGCAAGGGAAAAGGTCCAGGTTCAATCCTCACCACTGGGGGAAAAAAATCTACAAAGGGAGGTGAGTGGTAGAGGAAATAAATTCAGCAAGACTTAGTGACGACTAGACATAGGGGTTAGAATAGGACTCCCAGGTTTTTACATTTGGGTAACAGAGTGATTGGTATAGGGGGTGGCACTAACTGAACAGTGAGAAGAAAAGCCAGTTCTAGGTAGGAGATAGAGATTGGTGAAGGTTGGATGTGTCTTTAGCCAATGTTCAGCTCACACATTCCTTATTACCTGGACTGCCAGGGAGTAATGACACCATCATCAGGACCCCCAATGAGCACCAGGCGACCCACACGAAGAAAGTTTTTCCTCCATGCTGCAGGGTGGGAAGAAGAGAGAGTGAGTTAGCCACAACCTGAGTCAGGCCAGGTTGGATAGAGGGATATAGGGGATCAAAGAAGCTAAGGAGATAGGTAGGAACATGGGATCTTACCAGTGGCGTTGGGATGGTCTCTTTCTCCATTGATCAAGGCCAAGAAGCTGCTGGCATTGAGGTACAAGTCATCATGGTGGGGGTCTGGGAGTAAACAACAGTTAGGAAGACAGAGAAGCAAAGAAGGGAGACAAGACCAAAGACTGGAAAACCAGTCAGGTGACTGTATTCATATTCAAGTTGGATAGCAATATAATAATTGTATACACAATAGAAAGCACTTATATCTAGCCACTACTATGAACCAGGTACTGTTCAACGTACATCACAGAAAAGTCTGGCTGATCTTTGTATCTTGTACTCTCTGAGGCAAGGTGACACACATGAAATATTTTGGTGGTGGTTTCCACCCTGCCCCCCAGTTCTGGGGATTTAACCCCAGGGCACTCTATCACTGAGCTACATCCTCATCCCATTTATTTTTTATTTTGAGACAGGGTCACGCTAGTTTTCCAGGTTGGCCTCAAATTTTGCAGTCCTCCTACTTCACTCTTGCAAGTTGCTGGGATTATAGGTATGTGCTGCCACATACCCAGCCACATCAAACATTTTTGAATAGTGCCTCTTCAGATAATAAGTGCTCAGTGAACAGAAGTTACCACTATTTTTGTCATTGCTATTGGTTATGGTAATAACCATACTGGTATCCCTATTCGGTATCCCCACTCACCATGCCAGTAGTTGCAAATGGAGAATTCCTGACCCCAAGGGCTATAGCAGATCCGGTAGAGGTTAGACCGCATGGAGGTGGGAAATAGCCACTTCAAATAGTCTGTGTCTGGCAAAAGAATGGCAGTGCCAAGTGACCACAAACCTCTGTGCCTCCAAAACTTGGGGCCTTCTACGCAGCCCACAGTGCCCACTCACCTCCATACTGTCCCATCTGTGGAGATGAGAGTGAGATGAAAGAATCCACATTGTGGTCATCCATGACAGAGAGCAGTGCCCGGCACACCAGACCCCCTATAGGCACAACACCAATATTGGGCGGGAAATGAAGGACAACAAGGTCAACAGCTCTTGTCTTTTGCCCCACACCCCACCATCACCACCATACTGAACATAAAGGAGATTGAGACTCAGAGAACAGACACACCCTGGGCCAAAAGGTCATGTGTCATGTAAGTGACAGAATTATAATCAAGGCTTCCCGACTCTTAACTCCAGGATACTTTCAACTGCCCCTATTAATCATGAAATCCAAGAATCATGGGTAATGGACAAAGTAAGGGCAGCAGTGCAGGGAGCCTCCCTCCCATCCAGGATACAGAGAGAGAAGACCCAGGTGCTGAGTTAAGTCAGAAAAGAAGGGCTCAGGCTAGGGCAATGTGGTTCAGCAATGTAGTGCTGAGGACACTAGGAAGTATCCCTCAGACACTGATCAGGAGTTGGGAATGGGTAATTGCCTACCCTGGGAGTAGCAGATGAGATGTACTCCTTCAGGGGCCTTTGCCATGATGGGAACCACAGCTTCTCGGAACCCTTGTACCTGTTCCCACAAAGGCCGTAAACTCTCTCTGCCATCGAAGAGATCGAGCACTGTCACCACAGTCCCAGGATGTGTCTGTGGGAAGGGACAATACAACCACTGGGGATGGACTATGAAGCCCCCACATACCTATCCCTGGCCACATCCACATGACTATTGTGCTTGCTAGAACCAGGGATTCCCGTCCCCCAATTATCCCCATGCCAGGATGGCAGGAACTGGCAGGCAGGAGGTGGGGGGTGGGGTGGCTTTCAGCTACCCACTTCCTCCCCAGTCAAGGCAAACTCCGCCAATGTCCTCCACTGGGTGTCCCCGGACAGACCTCATTGATGTATTCCAGCAGGTGGCGGAAGCTGTATGAGCTGTCAAAGAGCCCGTGCACCACGATGACCGGCTTGTAGGAAGCGCTGTGGGACGCGGGGACTGCAGGCAGCAGCAGCTGCAGAAACGGCAACAGGAGCAGGACCCACACCGAGGGGAACCTTTGCCCCCAGAGCCCCAGCATGCTCCCGCCTAAGAAGGTAGAATGAGGGCCCATGAGGTAGATGACAACACCCATTACCTTCGGAACAGATGCCCAGCCATCAAGCCTCCCCCTCCTGCTCCCACACCAGGTCCTTTAGCCTACTTTTGAACTTACTCCAGTTCTCCCCCGACGAACACACACCCCCACCGCGTTGACGCACCAACGCTCACCAGAAGTCCCGCCCCCAACTCCACGCTCAGGGACTTGGTCCCTAGGCCCAGGATCTTCTTTATGCAACCCCACCACCAGGCACAACCCGGCGTTCCACAGGACCCTGAACAGCAGCGTAGGCCCCCTGAAGAATGCAAACTCCCACCTGGCCTGGTCTGTAGGTCTCACTCAGCCAGATGTTTACTTCTCCCTAATCTGGAACCCAAGGGGGAGGGAAAGCGTGAGAGAAGAAAGCGCCAGGGGGATGACGGGTGGGAGGGGGGGAGGGCTGCTCGGGGTCGCGCAAAGCCGTCACGTCCGGGCTTTCCCTGGCAACCGTGCGAGCGTCCCCTGCAACAGAGGCAGGGGACCGGAGAGGCAATGGAACGTTCCAATGCACTCTGGAAGGTGGGGAGGAAATAGGCGGAGCAACCCATTTAGACCAGTGGGGAGAAGCAGCAGCAAATGTATCCTGGGAATCGAAAGAAGGCCACTCCAGGCCCTGCAGCTCCCAGGTACCCAAGGGTTCGACTTCCCCTGCCTTGATTCGCTCGGCTTCCCAATCCACGCGTTTGGCTTCGCAGCTGAACACGAAGTTCTCGGTCCCCATGGGGCGGTGGGGGACGGACTGGGAAAAAGTATTTTGCGGTACGCTGGGTGAGTGGCCAGATGGAGTGACCGGCTGATGGCAGCCGATGCGCGCCCCTAGACGCCCGCCCGCCCCCGCCGCCCCAGGTCAGCGTCTTACAACTCTTCATCCTGAAGTGCATGTAGTACCCTTGTCTCCAGAGACGCGGAGAGTCCTCAAGGCCCCTCGAGCTAAGTGCAGCCTGGCCCAGTTTCTCCCGCCCTACTCTATCTACTTCCCTCCCAAGGAACAACCCACCCTTAAGGGGCGGAGGGCCCCTGGGGCTGCGCTGACTCACGCCTGGAAGATGCGGCTGCCTGGTCGTTGAACTTGAGCGACTCCACAATCCGGGCCTCCGAACTCTGTAGGCAGTTCCCGACCCAGACCCTACCACCCAATCCAGACTTCCGAGCTCCAGGCGCCTGCACCTCTCAACCTATTAGTGACCCCAACCCGATGCCCTAAAGCCTGGGTTAGGGCCCTTATTTGCTTGAGCGTTTACTTAATTAAAGCGTTTCCCTTGAGAAAAGGTTCGTCAGCGTGTCTGAGCTTCTCCCTATTTCACAAGGTCTCTACTGGGTCTAAATTTGTTTCTCCCAATAAAACCAATGTACGCTCAGAAGTGTGTAGAGTGAAGGACGAGGTGGGAGAAAAGTATTCGGGAGTAAGGCATTAGGGGCTCCCGCAAACACCTGAAAAACCAGAAGACCAGGTAAGGCTATGATCTAAATCTGGGGCATGGGACTGGGGCGAGGCCTTCTTTACTGATCTCCTCTTGGACAGGGACCGGGAGGTACACAGCCCGAAAATGACTGCCTCAGACGGAGGCTGGGAAATTAATTAATCTTAAGTGGCGGGGGGGGGGGGGGGGAACCACAATGATTTTTCTGGCCATGTTTCTGCAACAAGCCCAACTGGTGTAAATCTCCATAGACTGCCTTTCGTCATCCCTCCTCCCCACCCACTCGCTTCCAAGATGCAAAGAGCAAATAAAAAGAGCAATAATCGCTATGCCTTAGGTCGACCCTGGAGGTGGAGTTTCCTCCTGGCGGGTGTGTATGTGTGTGGGGGGTGGGGTTGTAGCTGAACGCTAACCTGCCTCAGAACTCCAAACACACCACCAACAAGCATACATTTCCAAACCGACCTGCCAGAAATGAGCAGTTAAGTCACCCCTTCCTGCTCCCAAACCATTTCACCTCCTTAACCCTGGAAGAAGGTAGCTATGCATCCCCCCTACTCCCATCTCTCTTCCTCCAGCCAGATGAGCTATCCTCAAATTATAGACCTGAGCCTCCTACTTTACTGCCGGGATCTCAGGTTCAGACTGTGTACCCTGGGAACTCTTCAGTCCATCTCACGTCTCAGCTTTGCACAATTCTCTCTCACACAAGATTCTCTCTCCTAAAGAGAAACTAGGGCCAAGGATTTGGGAAAAGATGCTGGCACCTTGCAGGGAGCTGAGGGAAACTAAGAAGACCTGCCTGGGTGAACCAGATGTAAAGGGAACTTGGCACACTGAATCCAATGAGCACCTGCTGGCTTCCTCCCACAATATAATCACTACAGTGAGCCTTGGAGGGGGAGACTCTAGAGAGTTCTTTCTCCCTCCTTCCTTCCCTAAGTCCCACCCTCCTTGCCTGGTCTTGCCTCCTGTTTCCATGACAACTCCAAGGGAGCCTAAATTGGGGGCTTGAATGCCAGGGTGAGAGGAGGAGAGAGGTGGTCCAAGAACAGAGACGAGTTGGGGGACGTCTGAGGCTCTTCCCCCTCCCTTGCCTCGGTCCCTTTAAGCTCCCCCCCCCTCCGAGTTCCCTCCGCCCCACGCCACAGTCTTCATCTCTCCATCTCTGTGCTGCTGCCGCTGGCTGCGCCATCCCGGACCCAGACTCCGGCGCCAGCCAGGGGCCACTGACTCCAGGGCAGGGACGCTGTCCCAGCCACACTGCAATCATGACATCGGAAAAGTCAGGTAAAAAATAAACAACAATAACAACCCCCTCCCTCCATCTTCTCCTCATCCTCCCCCTCCCTTGCCTTAACCCCCTTCCTTAGCCCTCCCTAGTGAGTGTTTCGGTTCCATTCCCCTTCTCTCCAGCTCTCTACACCCCCACCCCCTCCTCTATCTCCCACCCTTTTCTTCCTTTTCTCCTTCCAGTCTCAGCCTCTGCCCCTTGCCAACAACATGGGTAGGAGGGCAGGTTGAGAGGTTAAGGGAGGTAAAGAGAAGCTTAGCATCAGCCAGGTACTGCAGGGATAGCATCACTTGAAGTGACAGATGGACAGTCAGTGGCTCACTGGCATAGATACATCCAATGGGAAATATGGAGACATGATCAAATTGGGGTTGTCAAGGGAGTCAAATTCAAAAGACTCTTCTTTATGGGCACTAAAAAATGGCCCTGAGGTTCCCAGAGAGGCCAGGGCAGAGTGGAACATGTCATCCCACATGTGTGTATACAACTACTGAAGTAAGCACATGTGAACACAGTAATGCATGTTTACACATGTGCACCATAGGACTAGCTCAGGTAGGCCTGTCCAAAGGCAGCCATAGCTTAAAAGTAAGATTGTGTCTGTCTGTGGGTGAAAGCTGAGTGCGTATTGCTTAAAAAGAAGAGGAGGAGGGGAGAGTTGTGACCTCAAAACTAGATTGAAGGGGGGGAGGCAGATGGCCTAGATACAACCCCTCTCCTGACCCCCAAATGAGAGATGACTTCTTATCACCTCCCTCCTCCTCTCCCATTACCTATCTCCATCTCTGACTGTCTCCTTCTGATCTTATTGCTGTCTTCTCTCCCCACTTACCCTTTCCTTGGCTTACTGTCCCTAGGCCTCCCGGACTCAGTTCCACACACTTCTCCACCTCCATACAATGCTCCCCAGCCCCCTGCAGAACCTCCCGCCCCGCCCCCACAGGCAGCCCCCTCGTCGCACCATCACCATCACCACCACTACCACCAGTCTGGCACCGCCACCCTCCCGCGCTTAGGCGCAGGCGGCCTGGCCTCTTCCTCGGCCACAGCTCAACGCGGTCCCTCGTCCTCAGCCACATTACCCCGGCCCCCCCATCACGCCCCGCCTGGTCCGGCCGCCGGGGCTCCCCCACCCGGCTGCGCTACCTTGCCCCGCATGCCACCCGACCCTTACCTGCAGGAGACTCGCTTCGAGGGCCCACTTCCCCCGCCGCCGCCCGCCGCCGCTGCCCCACCCCCGCCGGCGCCTGCACCGACTGCTCAGGCTCCTGGCTTCGTGGTGCCCACGCACGCGGGGGCGGTGGGCACTTTGCCGCTGGGGGGCTACGTAGCGCCCGGCTACCCGCTGCAGCTGCAGCCCTGTACTGCTTACGTGCCGGTCTATCCGGTGGGCACGGTGAGTGAGGGAGCTGACTGGGGCCTGGGAAGAGGGGGGCACAGTGGAACAGCACTTGAAATTGGGGGCACACCAGGAACTGAGGTAATAGAGAAATAGAACCAGAAAACCAGGTTGTGTTCTGGAGACACGTCCCAGAGAGAGAGAAGGGGCTAAGAAAAGGCTTGGAGGTGAAGGACCTGGGGGTCCGTTGGGGTCAGAGGTCAGGACCTGAGAGGGGGAACAGAGAGATCAAAAGGAAGTTTGAAAGAAGGAAACCCTCTGGAAGGAGGGAAAGAAATGAAACCTGGAAACCAAGGGGCATGAGGGAGGGGAGGCCAGGGAGGTGTCTGGAGGGAAGGAACAGGTCCCAAGTGAGGCCAGGACAGTGCCTGTGGTCCGTAGCTAGTGGAAGAAAGCGGAGATATCCAAAATGATGCAATGAATGGAGGAGAGGAACCTAGGCGAAATTTATGGGTGTCCTACAAGGGCAGTGGTTAACCAGTTTCTTTGAGAAGCAACGGATAAGAATTGTGCTATTAAAACCGACTTGCCAGAGGCGGGACGCTGGTGGGTTGTAGCAAGTTCGGAGCAACATCCCTCCCCCAATTTTCCTTTTGCAGCCTTATGCAGGCGGGACCCCAGGGGGAACTGGAGTGACCTCCACTCTCCCCCCGCCGCCCCAAGGCCCAGGGCTGGCCCTGCTGGAGCCGAGGCGCCCTCCACACGACTATATGCCCATTGCAGTGCTGACCACCATCTGCTGCTTCTGGCCTACGGGCATTATCGCCATCTTCAAGGCAGTGCAGGTGTGGGGAGCCGGGGTTAGGTTTACGCCGTTATTCTTAGTTCTGGGAGTGTTGGGCCTTAAGGGGACCATATTAAAGGAAGGCTGGGGCATGCTAGAGAACAGCGACACTCTAACCGCGCTCCTCCACCCCTCCCCCGCAGGTGCGCACGGCCTTGGCCCGCGGAGACATGGTGTCTGCGGAGATCGCTTCACGCGAGGCTCGGAACTTCTCCTTCATCTCCCTGGCGGTGGGCATCGCAGCCATGGTGCTCTGTACTATCCTCACCGTAGTCATCATCATTGCCGCACAGCACCACGAAAACTACTGGGATCCCTAAAAACTCCCTCTGCCCAGCCCCACTCTGCGCCCCTCAACCTCCCAGACTCGTTCTGCAGTCAAGCTGCGGACCCAATAGGCGTCCCGCACACCCGCCTCTGGGGCAGCCGGACTTCCAAACATCCTAAACTCCACCTCCACGGAATCTCTGGCCTTGCGAGCACGCTCCTAATCCAGTTCCTCAGGAACCCCTACAAAACCCACAACCCCAGGGACGCTGCTTCCCGGGATCCCTGCTACAAGTCGGGCTCCAATACCCCATCCCATCAAAGTGCAGCGCCCCCAGCCGTGCTCCCTGTGCTCCCCAGCCTGGAATCTTGTCTCCAAAGTCCCACCTCCTTTATAGGCTCCACCCCAGCTCTGACAAAACCCCGCCTTCAGGTCGGCAGGCTCCGCCTTCTTTTCCGTCTCTACGGGGCGATTCAGTCAGGTGATTGGGTTTGTGGCTTTAGGCCTAGCCCACTGACAAACAGACTCTTCCCCTTTTTCTGGCCAGAGGGCTGCGACCCGGGATAGCCATGCCCCCACGCTCTCTCCCAATTTTTGCCAGTACAGTTTCGTTCTCCTCCACTTGATTCTCTTCATATTTCCCCCCAAATTCCAGAACTCTCCTTTAGTGATTTTTGGAATGTGATTTGGGAGATTTCTGGTTTAGGACCCTTCACCCAGAAGAAAAGCACCCATTCTCTGTAAATACTCCATTCCACTCATCTTATTCCTGGGCAGCCGGGCTGAAGGGAATCCCAGGATAAGAACCTCCCAATCCTGGGAGGACTCCGGCCCCCTCCCTGTTCCCGTTGGCGGTTCTTGCCTTGTTCTGATCTGTGTGTGCGTGTGTGTGAACTGAAAGACGATATTAAAGAGACTTACTGGATTTATCACCCGCAATTCCAAAGACTCTGGCACCACGAAGATTTTGCCCTTTTGATTTCCCTCTTCACGTCTCTCCATCTCTTCGGGACGGGGGTGGGGGGCGGACTGACAAAGACAAGTGAGAGGAGACAGACAAATATGTGGAACAGAGAATTGGTCCTTGGGTATCCGCCAGGGAAGATAACGGATGCCATTCTCTTCTCAATGGGTCTTGCTTTCCCCAAGGCCCCGTTTCCACTCCTTACTAGGCTGGGTTTAGGGCTTCCGAGAGGAAAGTTTTACAAGGAGACGCAGAGATCTAGCCTCAGAACTCCAAGAAGGCAGGAGGAAGGAAGGTGGCAGACCATGGTGAAGAAGTTGGTTGAGGATAGGGTAGGTAACAGGGGCAAGGAGGAGATGTTACCTGCCCATAATTGTTCCTGTGTGCTGGAGGGTGGCAAACAACTTGCATTAGAGCCCCACCTGAGGGGACAGGGGAAAGAAAGAATGCAGAGAGCTTTGGAAGCCCCAGAGAGGAGGTCAATAGTCTGGAGAATTACCTTCTGCTTTCCTGAAGTTAACCAGGAGGCCTCTGTGTTGGGATGCAGGGGAGACAGGAGTACTACAAGGAATGGGTTTAGTGTCTTTCATTGTACATCTGAGGACGGGTCCTACCCTAAGTCTGCATCCATGAAACATGCAGACACCATACAGCATGCTGGTGAGACACCTGTCTCGACAACAGGTGCAGCCCTGACTTCATGGAACTTACTATCTGTAAGGAAAGCCATGCACTGAGATCAGAGACATGGAAGGAGGAGGAGGTGGGGCATGGGTATCATGGGTTCTCCTTGGGATAGTTCAGGTTTAATGTGTCTTCCTTTTTTGTATTGTGTTGTTGTTGTTTTGTTTTTGTTTTTTTCCCCTGGTACTGGGAATCGAATCAGGGCTGCTCTGAGCTACATCCTGAAACTATTTTAAAATCTCATTTGAGACAGGATCTAAATTGTCCAGACTGCCCTTAAACTTGTGATCTTCCTGCCTTAGCCTTCCAAGTTGCTGTGGGCCATCATGTCTGTGTTAATGCGCCTTCCTTACCAAACTTCCTCAAAAAGGAGTCCATGTTTTCAATTTCCATTTCTTCATCCTCTAATCTTCTGTTTTTCTTGAACAGAGGAGTATTGCTATCAGAGATGTGTCTGTGTCATCTTTATTTCATACTATGTCTTGACTCCTCAAAATATTCTTTCACTCCTTGATCTACCAAAACTTCTCTCTCACATGACATCCAAAGACCAGAGTTTACCTGGACCAAAATCAATGGCATTTTCACAGAATCTGCCTCTCTGTACCCTCTCATACCTCTTTTCCTCCTCTTCTTCTGCCACCACTGCTGCTTCTCCTCCTCCTCCTCCTCCTCCTCCTCCTCCTTCTTCTTCTTCTTCTTCTTCTGATTGGACCAGAGGTGCTTCATGCTGAGTAACATCTTCAGCCTTTCTTATTTTTTATTTTCAGACTTGGTCTCACTGAGTTTGTTAGGGTCTCCCTAAATTGCTGAGGCTGGCCTCAAATTTGTGATCCTCCTGCCTCAGCCTCCTGAGCCACTGGAATTACAGGTGTGCTCCATTGCACCCAGCTGGCCTTAAATTTAATGATACTCCTGCCTTAGCCTCCCAAGTAACCTGGATTACAGGCATGTATCACAGTGCCCAGGTTTCTTCTTGCTTTTTCTCCTCCGTTACCTAAGTGACCATGTGGATTTTTTTCTTCTCTGGGACTTTCCCTTAAAAGTTCATCCCATCAATATTGTTGGTGTGTGTTTGTTTTGGTGCTGAGGATTGAACCCAGGGCTTTAAGCTAAACACATGCTATTCCCCCAAGCTCCTCACCCCAGAGATTCCAATTCTAGCCATCATCTCTAACCAAATGCTGCTCCAACCTGTCCTGTACAAACATACATTCCTCCAATGTCTGAGGGACATAGTCACATGGACCATGCTGCTGGTCATCTAAACTCAACATGTTCCAAACCAAGTTGATGAAATGCCACCAAAAACCCCATCTCCTTTAATAGCATCATCTTGTCAATCACCCTTCCTTACCTGAAAACTTGCTGCCTTCATCATTCTCCTGCCTTACTTCTGGTGTGTTGTCAAGTTGAATAAATTCTACAGCCACAATATGTTTTGAATCCACTTTTCCCCAGTCCTTGCCAGAAACATTACCTCATCTAGGATCATCGCAACAGCTCCCCAGCATCTCTTCCTACTTCCTACGTGTCTCTCTATTTCAAGTCTCTCTCAACTCTGCTATTAGATATAACTGCATTGCTCAACAGTCTTTTGAAAAGCTAGCACAGTGGCATATGCCTGTAGTCTCAGCTACTCAGGAGACAGGAGGATGTCTTGAACCTGGGAGTTTGAGACCAGCCTGGGCAACATAGCAAGATCTCACCTCAAAAAAGTGGGGGAAGGGAGAGGGTGTAATTCAGTGGTAGAGTACTTACCTTGGGTGCCCAAGGCCCAGCAGTTCAAAATAATAATCATAGTCATAATTATATGTCCTGCATGATTGTGGATTGTTTATTCAATTATTTAGAAATTTTCAGTCTAGCCTTCAATTACTTCCATACTTAAAATCATTGAACTTTCTCTGTTCAACCTCATTTGCAACCAAAATGAATTATTCATCATTCCTACCCCCAGGTCTTTACCCAGCTGTACTCAAATCTTAGACTTCCTCCTCCAATCTCTATTATAAAACAAACTGCAGCTTGCCATGAGTTTCAGACCACCTCTAGACTTTTGCTTATCATGTTCTTCCCCCTTCACATCTGCCTCTCTACTTGGGGTCAAGATTTTCCTGCCTTCAAGGCCCAGATCAATTTACCACCCCACCCCACCCCCACCAGCAAAAAGGTCTCAGTCCTCTGGGCTGGATTAAAGCAGTGGGTCTCTCTCTCTCTCTCTCTCTCTCTCTCTCTCTCTCTCCTTCCCAGGGGTGATTAACCACTGAGCCACATCCCCAGGCCTTTTAAATATTTTATTTAGACACAGTGTCTCACTAAATTGCTTAAGGCTTCACTAAATTGCTGAGGCTGGCTTTGAACTCAGAATCCTCCCGCCTCAGCCTCCGGAGCTGCTGGGATTACAAGTGTGCACCACCCCACTCCTGTCTTAAAGAAGTGGATTTCTAAACAGAGCCCCAGGAACTCCTTGGAGCAATTCTTAGAGCCAGATTCACATTAGAATCATCTAGGGAGCATTTAAAAATCCCAAAGCTCACTAAACCAATTAAATCAGAATCTCTGGGGATGGGACTCAGGGTCTAGGCAAGTTGTTCACGCTGAAGCTGGCCTCCTACTTATGATCCTCTTCCCTGAGCCTCCCAATCTGGGATTACAGGAGTGCACCACCATGCCTGGTGACAGTTAGTAATAGTCTTTTAAAGACATCCCCAGATGACTCCAAAGGGCAGCCAGGGTCATCATGGGCTTCAAGTCATCTCAGGAACTACTTAGGAAGAGGGGAGAGGCCAAAACGTAGCTTGAGTCAAGGCAACTTTCTTTAGGAGAAAAGTATCTAGGTCTGAAACCCTCCCATTCTACCTGTTTTTGGTGGTATTGTTTTTTTGTTTGATTGGTTTTGGTACTGGGGATTGAACCCAGGGGTGCTTACCTACTGAGCCACATCCCAGCCATTTTTTATCATTATTAATTTTTATTTTGAAACAGAGTCTCCATAAGTTGTTGAGCCTAGCCTCAAAGTTGCAATTTTCCTGCCTCAGCCTCCTAAGCCACTTGAATTACAGGCATGCATCACCACACCCGAGCCCCACCTGTTTTTTTGATATATAACACACCTTATCTTGTGAACTACTCAAAGGCAGGAGCGAAATCTTGTTCATCTTTGATTTTCAGTTCCTCATCTGATAAAATCTGTTTTACTAATCTTAGAATGCAATTGCATTGAAAGTAATTAGGCAGAAGGAGAAATGAGTAAACATGACTTCTCCCAGATCTCTTCACCTCACCTAAACTCCTCCCTGGAGAGGAAATAAAAAATGGTATTCCAATTCGATTCTACTCCCACCTAACTTTAACTCTGTCTGCACATGAGGCCCTTTACTCTTGTACCCCTACTGACAGATTCCATCCTCCAGGAGAGTCTGACCCCCTTTCATATCTACTTGGGTGTTCTGATTCCCCCATGACTAGATTCTGGGTCAGCATTCCCATTCACTCATTGAGAATTTGGCACATATTGAATGTGGGTCCTGTAATCCAGTAATGTTCTGCATGCATGCAGCAGCTGAATTTGGCAGGTCGGATCTGATAGACAATAAAAACACTCTCTTGATATTAGATAGCATTTGTTTTATCAATAATATGAAAGCAAAAGCAAAGATGAGAGAGAAAGAGAAGAAAACACATCACCAGATCAGGGGAAACACCTGAGGTCAATTAGTTGGGGAGTCCCAGAGCAACTTTTCAAGGTCCCAACTGAGAACTTCTCAGGCAGAGCATCCTCTCCACTGCTGAGACTCCAAAGTCTTATTCCCAGTGGGGCTCTTTAAATACAACTAGAACAAAGAAACCTCTATTCTAACAACCTACATAAGCTAGTGATCTCCTCAAGGACACTTCAACCCCCAAGG